AAAAAAAAAAAAAAAAAAAAAAAAAAAAAAAAAAAAAAAAAAAAAAAATAAAAAAAAAAAAAAAAAAAAAAAAAAAAAAAAAAAAAAAAAAAAAAAAAAAAAAAAACAAAAAAAAAAAAAACATCACCAACACTTTGCGACTCTTAATACATTCTAGAACCCGAAGTCCTAAAACGCACCTCTTCCGGATCCCAAATATAGGGTTCTCCCTTATGCATAGCGCACGGTTCGATCCCTTTCATAGGGACACACAGAAAGCATCAACAAGATGGCCAAAAAGCAGAACGACCTCGCCCGACCTCACCTTTCAGGGCTGCAAATATTGAAAACAATCCAAAACCATGCCATCAGAAGATTTCTGAGAGGGCATCGCGCATCGTCCCTCGTCACCACAGTCACCACCCCCATGGCCACAGTTCTTGGAGGAGCCGGGAGAAGCGCAGGGGCTGTACAGAGATTACGTCAGTTTGACAAGGATCTATTGGGATCAAATATGGCAGTAGGCGGCATGTTCTGACAATCTTTTCTTTTGGGGGGGGGGCGGAAGAATAAGGAAGTTTCCATTTTGGAGGGTGCCGGGTGAACTTGGTTGTGAGAAACCTACATGTGATCAACTCCAAGAAAGGAACCCCTTTTCCCCTTCCACATGCGTACGTGCGTGTATGCAATGGTCGAGTACATCGGCTTCCAGATCTGGGTCAGACAAAGTGCGAAAGGCGTGTCGTACCTAGAGGCAGATGCACTGTTTCAGGACGCTTCTTCTCTGTTTATGGTAGCAGTCTCGATGTAAAGTACCCGCGTTTCAGTTGAATTCCCTCCAGAATGAGGAAGCCTGTTCATGTGATGAAAATCAGGCATTTGGCTGAGAGGGTTCAGGGTTGAGCGCCGGAGCAGGATGATGGCCTCCGTGCAGGCAATGTAGCACGCTCTCTCAGTATCCCAATGAAACCCGCTGCCCTGGAACGGTAGATAAGATAGGTTGACTGTAGCCTCTTAATTTATGTACCGACACATAAAGACAGTGGTTGATGGATACCGCGCAGCTCACAAGAAGATGAGGGCGTGCAACATTTCTCCCGTGGCTGACCTGGGTGTAATCGTTCGAAACAGCTTAAAGGGCTCATGGTTCCCATCTTAGATTTCTATCGTCTTGTTCGTTTGCAGGAGCCCGCAGACAGTTCCGCTGTTGGCTGGGCAGAGCCTGCGTGCCTTTGATTTCCCTTCTAGGCATGAGTCTCCATGAAATGCGGTGCATAAGAATTCTACTACCTAAACTTGACCAGCAGCACACACATTATGTGGCCAGAGGCCCCTCAGGCTAAAGCCTTGCGAAAGCCTTGGGGCTAAGGTTTGACAGTTTTGGATTTAGGGCTCGCGGGCAACGATTCACTCTTGAGTCTTGGTGCTGGGGCACAACAGAGATCTTTCAGATTCCGCAGAAGCTGGGATGGCAGGGTGCGGGTTTTGGTCTTATTTCTTCAAGAAATGCTTTGAGTGATGGCATGCAGCATAGAGGGATTCTGGGGGTGGCGTCTAGATAGCTGCGAGTGCCACGATGACTTCAGCATTTAGGGTGTTTGGCTGCATGTTCGGAGATTTGGGCTTCGAGTACAAGGTTGGTATTTTTGCCCAGAACCGGCGGGAAGATCTAGGGTGCACAGAACTGCTGCCTTCGTCTAAACCATCATGCTCCCTATATTAGGTTAAACCCTTTTTTGTAGATCTTGGGCAGTACCTGTATAGGGTTGCTTCCTGGATGCAGTGTTTTGCATCCTCGGGCTAGAAAGCATTGCAGCTTACTGAGCAGGCCTGAGACCTGAAAAGCAAATCATGCCGCATGCTGTTAGCAGCCAGCATGGCTTTTAATGCCCTATCAACTGAACATACAAGCAATGCCCTGATCAACCCTGAAACCCACAACCTCCTCTCAGCTTCAGCTTATTACCACGAATACCCCTCGTACACCCCTTGTACAGGTCCCCTGTTTCTGAACTGCTGAAAGCTCCTCAACTCAGGTCTCCAGCTGAGTCGGATGGCCGTGGCGCACCATCGAGCGTCACACAGCGCACCACGCGCCCCAACACCGGGGACTCTACAGTTCGCTCTGCGCGGTTAGAGGCGCCACTAGCGCAGCAGTCTCTGCCAGCCAGGGCCACATGAGAAACGTATGAGGCAACATAGAGGGCATTTAAGCTTTACAAGCGTGACCGTGGGCATTTACTCTTTGGTTTGGTTGCGAGCTGAGAGGGCGGGGGGCTTGCCTTTTTTGCGTCCCCGACTGGAGTATCATGTCTCGTGGGTGGGACATGGTGGTAGCTCGGTCCGGACATGCCGTTATGCGACCACAGTGTTTTGGGTTCGGGGACCCCCAAAACTCTGAACCAGAAACTCTTGAACACTGAGCCACGAACTCGAAGCGCTAAACCTGTTACCCGAATCGCCAGCTCTCAAACCTTGAACCCTATACCCTGCTAGGTCCTGGTGACAAGCCGTGCCGCAGCCTCTGAACGATCGGCGGTCTCCGCGAGGCAGGATGTGAGTTCCCAGAAGCCTGCTATCATTGAGGCAGTTAAGGTTTAGGGCACCGGCGAGGGCTTGTTCTGAATTTGGATTGGCATTTACCATTGGTGCAGTATCAGGCTGGGTGCAAGCATAAGGGGAAGTTTACAGGCAAAAAATAGTCATGAGAGGTTGGGGATGGGTTGTCACAGCAGTCTTTAAGAAATTGATCCGAAATCCCGACGCCTGAGCTATACACCCTGTCTTTTGCTTGAACATGAGCGTCTGTGACCAGGCACTGGCGAGAAACCTCTTACGAGGCCTGCCTGGATGCGGAACAGGAGACAGGGCTCCAACAACATCGCCTGAGCAGCCACCCGACGCCCATTGCCCCCAACTCAAGCTCATCACCAGCTCCAGATGTATCCCTTGTCCCGTACTTCTTAAAGTGCAGCCTGGGGCCGTAGGGCGTAGGTTTCGATGTACGTACTCAAAAAGCCCTAACGAGATCGTTGGGTCTCAAGCTCTAGAGCTTCACAACCTGCTGCCTAAAGCTTCCCCCGCCAAAGCTTCTGAAGCATGAACCTGCAGACCCCCCAAGCCTTAAACAGCATGACCGTGCAAGGAGCCGGAAGAGAAGCGGTTCCCGCAAGCGCAGTCCATGATGCAGCGCGGTTTTCATGCGCTGATGGAGTTCCTGGACTTCACCAACCGCAGGCCTTCCGCCAGTTTGGGTTTGCAGTAGTTTGCATAGGACGCAAAGCGCCAGCTGCATCCTGCACCTGCCTGCGATTGAAATGATCATGGTCCTGGTAGCTGCAATAGCGGTGGTGGTGGTGGTGGTGGTG